TCTTAAAAACATCCTACAAGACAAAAGAATATTTTTTTTCTGAGTGAGAAATTAAAGCAGAAAAAAAAATCCATTTCAATTGGAAAAATTGAAAGATGTGATTTGTACTTTTAAATAGCAAAGATTTTGATTGAACCTGTCCAGAAGGCAAGGGAATTTATACAAAATATTGAAGAGGAGAGATTCAAATGGAGGTGTTAGATGAAATTAAACAAAAGCTCTACATGGGACATGAGAAACCAAAAGGGATTTCACTGAACTAGGCACTACATTTTCCCCCTAAATTTTGGGCCTGATTATGAATTGCAAATGGTTAATGTACTATATAACTGAAGCAAATTCTCCTGGAGAGAAAAATAATTATTTGAAAAAAAAATAATTTGCCTACAAGAAACATATATTAGAAATAAAATATAAATTTATAAAAATTGGGGGAAGAATTATTTTCAACAAGAACAGAAAAAGTGGAGTTGTTTTATATAAACCCCAATTAATACCAGAACTTGTACTGACTGATGTGCAAGGTAGGTTTGTTTGGGTGAGGAAATATTAGAGAATATTGTTTTGTTTATCATGATTTTAATGTTTCTGGGTTGTTGTTTTTTTGTTACCTGGAACTAAATAGCATATCAGCCGAAATAGAAAAAAACTTATCTGTGGTATGGACAATTTAAATACACATTACCTTGAACTACTGCAAAATAGGATATACATCTACAGTATGTAATAATAGTAATAATAAAATAGTAATTCAGAGAAGAAAAAGGTGGGAAATATATGCATATTTTCTCTTCATTTCTAATTTTTTTAGATTTTCTAACTACCAGAAAGTTTTTGCTCTTGGTTTTAAAAACATCTATTAAAATTTGTAGAAAAATATTTTGAAAGATCAGTTATAATTTTATGTAAAAGTTTGTAGAGCATTAAAATAAATCTCTAGAGAAAAAGAAGGGATTCAATATTAAACACTGTCTACCCAAATCAAATCACTGTCTGACACTGATAACGCTATTCTCCTGAGTACTCTTTAAATTGCTTGTATATTAATATGCCTACTAGCTCATTCCTGGAGAAAAAAAGCATGGTGAGAATCAGCAAACAAATTTTGCACAGCCCTGATAATATATGTATGCATAAATTCAGCCACATTCCATGTAACTTAGGGCGAAACTATTCAATACATTAAAGATGTAATGCATGATTGCCTTCTGGATTTTATTTATAATAGAGCAAGAACACTGTCTTTGTTTGTGGGGAAGGCTTAAATTCCCTACCAATACTTAGATTGGATTTAAAAAACAAAGGTAGAGGAGGAAGGGAGAAGTGAATCTCTGTGTATTTATGTGTGGCTAAGGAAAAATAAAAAAGATCTCATTATTCTCTGATGTTTAGCATATGTGGCTAAACTCTAAGCTAAAATAATTTGGAGTTAGTTAGTTAGTTAGTTAGTTAGTTAGTTAGTTAGTTAGTTAGTTAGTTAGTTTATTTGTTTGTTTGTTTGTTTGTTTATCAAACTTGTATGCCACCCACTCACGACTCTAGGTGGCCTACAAAAATTGAATAAAGTCCAAAGTAAAACATTAAAACAATAAAGAGCTTACTTTAAAAAAAATCAATTAAAATAAAACTAATCGGGATGGAAAGGGAGGAAGCAAAGCATGCACAGAGAGGAGATGAGGTGCTCATTAGCTACCTCCAACATGTCACACTCCCATTGGGACCCCAGGTTGTTGTCATCACCATGACTTCAAGGGCTTTCAGAAGGCTAAAAGCGTCGGAGTGGATCTGACCTCACATTCCCATTTCAAAATTAGTTTTTGACAATTACATTTCCATCAGATTCATATAGAATTCCTCACTTCACATGTTCAAAGCCATCTTAATAGTTCTAAGAAAACTCCTAATTACTCAATTAAGATTCTGAAGCTGTTATCTTGCCATACTCCCTACAGCATGTTGTAGACTTTCTGCCCTCCAACAGCTTTTCCTTCTCTTTGGTCAAGTCTGAGAAAATTCTCAGCCTCATTTCTTGAAGTACAGGTAGTCCTTGATTTACAACCATTCATTTGTTTGAAGTTACAATGGCAGTGGGGAAAAAAATGCTGTTTTTCACAGTTACGACCATTGCAGCATCCCCATGGTCCATGTGACCAAAATTCAGATACTCGGCAACTAGCCTTTTGATCCCCTTTTGTGAAAGTTCATAAAATCGGGCAAAACTCATTTAACAACTGTCTTACTTAGCAATGGAAATTTTGGGCTCAATTGTGGTCATAAGTTGAGGACTGCCTGTATACCAAGATTGTTCATCAGTATTCACAGTAGCACATTTGGAGGTTTGTTTAAGATTGAAGTGCATCCATTAGGGTTTAACCCTAACAAGACACTTTCATTTTGTTTTTCGTCTCGGATCATGAAAATGAAAGAAAATTGTAAGTTATCTCTTGATATTTTTAGGAAGTTCTCAACTTGTAAGACGGGTCCCCTCTATTCGTCCCATTTAGAAAGTCTAATACCATCTAAGGTCAATTACTCGATCACCAAAACAAGTTCCTTCTTCACCTGTTATGATGTCCTGGGCTTGCAGGCAGCACTAGCTTTTAGAGAAAAACAGCAGTGGTGGGGTTTCAGTTCAATCTTTTCAGGATAGAGGAGCAGCACAGCTAGTTGTCATAGCCCCGGGGCTACTAGATCTGGACTGCAATAACCTTGACAGCTATTAAGATCCAACAAAGACATTTTGCTCCATCTCTGTAAGTCCTAATCAGTACAGAGTGAGGTTGTCTGCTAAGCTTTTTCGCAAATCACTTTGACCTATTACTCATCACTAGAGGTTTTTAAGAAGAGACTGGACAGTCACTTGTCTGAGATGGTATAGGTCAGTGGTGGTGAACCTATGGCACGGGTGCCAGAAGCGGCACTCAGAGCCCTCTCTGTGGGCACACACGCTGTCGCCCCAGTCCTAGGCCTTCAGCTGGCTTTTATAAAACCTTTTCGCTTTAGGCCTCCACCGCGGTGTGCAAAAAAAAAAGGTTCAATCAATCAGTCAATTTCAACTTCTCGCGGAAAAAAAAAGATCTTGCAAAGTTGGAATTGATTGAACTTTTTAGTCCCACCCAATTTGCCGGTACCACCGCAGCCACGCCCATCCAATGGGCCACACCCACCCAATGGGCCACACCCACCCGGCACCCAACGATGCATAAGTGGGTTTTGGGTTGCAGTTTGGGCATTCAGTCTCTAAAAGGTTCGCCATCACTGGTATAGGTTCTCTGCTTGAGCAGGGAGCTGGACTAGAAGACCTCCAAGGTCCCTTCCAGCTCTATTCTATTCTATTCTATTCTATTCTATTCTATTCTATTCTATTCTATTCTATTCTATTCTATTCATCCCTTAAGGTATCCAGGGTACCTCAGTTGCCTACATTCTTCTATGGACATTACCAACATTCATGCCTTGTTTGTTTGTAATATTTTGCCTTCTCCAAGTGACATTACTGCCTTATTGCTATGCTGCAATAAAACAAAAGCATTGACATCATGAGCCCAAGACCCCATCCCAGCCCCCCAAAAAACAAGTATTATTTTTATCTTAGATTATTTTTAAAAAGTCATTTTTAAAAAGTCATTAAATTACAAATCATTTAATTCATCATTCAGTTCATGGCAAAGACAGCTTTCACACATTTGTTTCTAGTGTGCCAATTGCTTCTTTTATGGAATGGGAGGCATTATTTGTAATAACGTATGCCTTGGTTCAAACAGAATATTGTAATGTGCTCCATATGGGGCTAGATTTAAAGACCAGGTGGAAGCTGCTATGGGTCTACAATGCAGCGGCACAGGGAATAAAGCCTGTTACTGTAGACCACCAGTTTTAGCTGATGGCAGCACCTGAACTTATAAGCTAACCATAATCAATCCTGAATACTGTTTGGATGGGAGACCACCAGGACATACTTGGAACTTTAGAAAATGAAATTGAAAAACATTCTGAAATAAGGCTATGGCAAAACCCTCTCAATGCTGCTATGAATGTTAAGGGA